CCCTCCCTTCCCTCCATCCTCCTTCAGTCTTTGCTTGCTTCCTCCCTCCCTTCCCTTTCTCTTTCTTCTCTCCTTCCTTCCTTCTGTCCTTCCCTTCCTTTTTCCTTCCCTCCCTTCCTCTTCCTTCTTTCCCTCCCTCCCTCCTCCTTCCCCTTTCCTTCTCTTTCCTTTCCTTCTTTCTCTTTCCTTTTTCTTTCCTTTCCCCTTTCCTTTCCTCTCCTCCCTCCCCCTCCCCTCCTCTTCTTTTTCTTTCTTTCCTTTCCTTCCTTCCTTCCTTTTCTTTCTTCCTGCCTCCCTCCCTCCCTCCCTTTCCTTTTCTCTTCTTCCTTCCTTCCTTCCTTTCCTCCTTCCTTTTTCTTTCCTTTTCTCTCCTTCCTTCCTTTCCTTTTCTCCTTCCTTCCTTCCTCCCTCCCTTTCCTTTTCTCTCCTTCCTTTCCTTTTCTCTCCTTCCTTTCCTTTTCTCTCCTTCCTCCCTTTCCTTTTCTCTCTTTCCTTCCTTCCTTCTTCCCTCCCTTTCCTTTTCTCTCCTCTCTTCCTTTCCTTTTCTCCCCTCCCCTCCCCTCCCTCCCCAACTCACCAGTTCCCGGTAAAGGGGGTTGAGGGTGAACCACAGAGCGACGGCGCATCGCTGGCCTCTGGTGACGGCCTTGACCCCGTGGGGATTCTCTCCACCGGAGGAGAAGCTGACCATTCGGCCGCATTTGGGTCTGATGGAGGCCTGGAAGAAGCGGGGGGAGGTGCTCGGGTTGGATCGGAGCTTCTTGCCTGTCAGATACAGGCAGTTCTCCACTTATGACCACTAATGGAGCCCCAACTTTTGACAGCGGCTGAGTGAGTTTGGCCCCGTTTTATGACCTTCCTTCCCACCATTGCTAAGCGAATCACTGCAGTCGTTAAGTGAATCTGGCTCCCCCATGGATTTTGCTTGTTGGAAGGTCACAAAGGGGGAAATCACGTGACCCCGAGACACTGCCACCGTCATAAGTACGAGTCAGCGGCCAAGCCTCTGAATTTTGATTACGTGACTTTGTGGGGATGCTGCAATGGTCGTAAGTGTGAAAAACGACCAGGAGTCATTTTTTATCAGTAACTTCGAATGGTCACTAAACGAATAATTGTAAATTGAAGTCTACCTGTCCAGGTATCTACTCACCGTGACCGTCTTAGCATCCATTTCCGTGAAAATAAACTCCCCACCTTCAAAGTCGCTGTTCATGTACAGGAGAGCACTAAGAAGATAAAGAGATAGATGATGATAGATAGATAGGTAGATAGATAGATAGATAGATAGATAATAGATAAATAATAGGTAGGTAGGTAGATAGATAGATGATAGATAGATAGATAGATAGATAGATAGATAGATAGATAGATAATAGATAGGTAGGTAGGTAGGTAGATAGATGGATAGATAATAGATAAATAATAGATAGGTAGGTAGATAGATGATAGATGATTGATAGATAGATAGATAGATAGATAGATAGATAGATAGATAATAGATAGGTAGGTAGGTAGATAGATAGATAATAGATAGATAATAGATAGGTAGGTAGGTAGATAGATGATAGATAGATAGATAGATAGATAGATAGATAGATAGATAATAGATAGATAGGTAGGTAGATAGATAGATAGATAGATAGATAATAGATAAATAATAGA